GGGTTGTAAAGCATAGAGCCAGAGATGTATACACAACCCTGAGGACCTTTAATGCAACAATACAGACTAATAGAATGAAAATTTCATTCAGACAGATGGCTTTGTGTGTGGGGGGGGCGGTATTTCACTGAAAAATCACTCAGTACAAGTCTGTGTTGTTAATAGGTTTCGATCACTTCTTTCCTTCTGTGCATGGACCTTGTGTTACAAGATTGTATGTCACTCTTAAGAATTAAGAAAAAAGAAATGTCCCTTTAAATTTAATAAGCAACATTCAAAATAGATAATGAAGACGGGATATATGGAGCAAGAGCAGCGGATGAAGCTTACACAGGCATGCTTTTGACCCATGATTTGGAGTCAGGGACAACTAAGACTTCCTGCCCAGTGAGAATAAGTTTCCTCACCCAGAAATCAAAGGATTGATGTTCAGCCTTCACCTATCTCTTGTGTTCTGTAACTATAAGACATCTGGAGTGCCAGAATTGTACTAAAACTGATTCTGATCCAGTAAACATATCAATGTATCATACTTTGATAAAAAAATATTGACATTGGCAAGTTCAGTTCAATACATATATTTGTGTCAAAGAAAATCAATGTCTACTTTTTATCTATACATAAAGTAATGTTGGTAAGATTTAAGCTAGTGATGGAAATGAGTCTGCCTTTTGTCCTAATAAATGCCATTATATACAATGTAATATTGTTATGGGCCATCATTCATTATGGCTGGGTATTCTTTGATTTAAAAAAAAGGGTATTATAGTCTTAATTCATCATCTAGTTACATTTCCTTCTGAGGGAAAGATAGAAAACATTTCTCATTCTTTTGGGGCAATTAGTACATGAAATAGTATATTCATGACGTAAGAGTGGGAGCTTTTAAGCTTTCGATGGAATCTTGTTTAGTCAGCTAAAGCAAATGTATTGCCTTGTTGTATGGGTACAAAGTGATTCAAAGCAAGATATCATTTAATCCTCCAAGCAAAGCAGTTGTATGTTTTTCTGGCCTGCTTGCACTGTTGACGTTTTTATTTTCCTCTGGATTTGACTCCGTTAGATGAGATTTTTTTTAATCAAGGAACTCAGAAAGAATTGAAAGCTTTATAGGCAGGATTGGCAAAGGAATGACTTTAGCAGTCATTTTCTGAGAAGTAGTGTCAATATCCACAGTATACAGGTAGCACTTGGCCTCTGGACACAAAGCACCTGTAAGACATCCTTCTCAGTGGAGTATCTACTGATGTAGGAGTGTATATGAGGTGTAGGGTCAGGATACTCCTTGGTCCCACTTGTCCACATTTATATTCAGTCTAAAGATTTGTAATTTGTCAAATAGATGGGAAAAAAAAAAACAGAAGGTGCAGTTAAGGAAGCCGAGGATTTTAGTAGTAAAAAGAAGGAATCTGTGAACAGAAAAAATAGTTCCAAGTGGGCTGCTGTTCCTTTCCTATCTCTATCACTACTGGAATTTAACTACTAAGGTTCTCCAAGCAAACAGAGAGAGAGAGAGAGAGAGAGAGACAGAGACAGAGACAGAGACAGAGACAGAGACAGAGACAGAGAGACAGAGAGACAGAGAGAAGGGAGAAATCTAAAAGAAAAAGAAGAACCTAACCAGGATGGAATTTCAATTCTGACTTTGACTAACTTGTAATGAGGCTTTGTGCAAGGGACTCTGTAAGCCTCAATAGTTTTCTCATTCTAAGATTTGTGACAATCTGTAGAAGTAACCATCATATTAAATAAGAAACACAGAGCCCATGTAAAGATAAAAGCCCAGGAGGTCAGAGCTAAAAGCCTTACCCTTCCTGCTTCAGCGATCCTCTTCAGCCAAGAGAGACCTACTTCCTGTGTGTTTGTCTTT